TCCCCTACCTCCTCGGGCGCAAGAAGCGGTGGGGAAAGTGCAAGACCCGAGTGTTTGTTGGTGGGCAGATCAACAGGATGGACGAGGAGAGGAAGGCGTAAGTGCTGGTGGCCACTGCAGCTCACAGCCCCTCTGAGCCACTCAGCTGTCCCCATGGGTGGTGGCAGGAGCTGCTGCCCCACTCCGAGCCCTCCAGGCTTTGCTGTAATGGAATCTGTGAGCTCTGACCTGGCTGCTTTGCCTTGCTTCTCTGGAAATCAATATGGCTGCTGAGTGTGAAAACCCGAAGTGCAAACCAAAGCCAGATTTCTGCCAGATCAGAGCTGCCTTTCCCTGCTGATTTGGGGAAAATGTGTCCTTTTCCCTCTGGCAGGATTGTTTCTCTGCTGAGCAAGTTCCGCCTCGGCTTCCATGAGGTCCACATCCTCCCTGACATCAACCAGAAACCCCGGCCAGAGCAGTAACCACCCCCATCCCCTTCTCCCCTGCCTCCCCAGCATCCCCAAACCCACCTGGGCACTCTTCCCTGGCACTGTCTGCTTGTCTTGCAGCATCAAGAGGTTTGATGAGCTCATCGCTCCCTTCAGGCTGAATGATGGCTTCAAAGATGAGGCCACAGTGAACGAGATGAGGCAGGGCTGTCCCTGGAAGATTTCTGATGAGGAGGTCGATAAAAACAGAGCCAAGGTAGCACTGGTGCTGGGGGAGCTCCTGTGAAGAGTCTCCTGCTTTTGAGACAAAATTCAGTCTTTTGGAAACCATTATTTTGCGTTTGCCAACCCTCTTTGCTCCACAGTCGCTCCGACAAGTGAGGCTGAATGAGATTTTGCTGGATTACTCACGGGATGCAGCACTCATAGCCATGTAGGTGCCAGCAGCACCCTCATGCCCATTTCTTGCCCCATGGAAATGGTCCCTCTGGATGTTCACCACCCTTCAGATGGGGAGATCCTGGACACACCTAATGCTGTGGTGGGACAGTGCCACACCATGGGGAAAAGCCCTTGGAAGGCACTAAGGGGTCTGGCCTGGGTCCTGCTGGGGGGAGGAAGTGGTGTTGCTCCTTTTTAGGGAAATAACCTGCAACGGATTGGGAGAGGGGGTGTGGCCAGGGGACTGTGCTGGCTGTGCCTCACCAGCCCCTCCCTGCGCCGCAGCACACCGCCCATCGGCAGGAAGGGTCGCTGCCCCAGCTCCCTCTACATGGCCTGGCTGGAGACCCTCTCGCAGGACCTGAGACCTCCCATCATCCTCACCCGTGGAAACCAAGAGAACGTGCTGACCTTTTACTGCCAATAAAACCTCCTGGATCGCTGCCACCTCGGGATGTGAATTTTTCAGTTTGATCTCAGAGTGCACTTGTCTGAGGGTCTGGAGGAGCAGTGAAGGCACGAGGTGGTCACCAGCCCTACAGAGATGCCCACCAGGCGCAGCTGCCACCCTCTTACAAACACTCTTTTGGCTGATCTCAGGCTTTGTAGGCTGTACAGGGATATACAGCAATGCTGGCCCTGCAGCACAGGCATTGCTCCAGCCTGGATTTCACCCGACCTATGCCAGTGAGCTGTGGAGTCCTGCACCTGTACCCTCAGGAGAGCCTGAGCAGTGTGCAGGGACCAAGCTCTGGCCCCAGCAAAGCCACTGTCCCAGGACAGGAACAGCCCCAGAGGGCCAGGAGTGGGTCAGCACCACACCCACTACTGCAGGGACCCTGCATGTGCCCTCAGGGATGGGACAACAGCTGAGCCCACCCCTGGCAGCTGAGCAGCAGGGAGATGTTATCTCCAGCTGTGGTGCCTGGCTGCAGGGGCAGGTTCAGCTCCTAATAGAGACATCAACCACCAGAACCAGGACATTTCCTGGTGCCAATGGCCCCTGGCAGGAGAAACCTGCCCCATGAGAGGCACAAGTTGAGGCTCATTTCCAAAAGCACAACCCAGCCCCTCTTGTCGTGCTGCAAAACACAGAACATCACCTCAAGAGTTACAGAATTTACTGATAACCACAACCAGGATTAGAAGTGTCAGTAGAAAAATAAAATTTACAGAAGTTTCGATCATACAAAGATTTGTTCATGACAGCTGCAGGTGTTAGCGAGGGGGAGCTGGGTGCTAGCATGGGGATGTCACACACAGGGCAGGGCCAGACAGGTGTTCCCTCAGGGCAGGTGGATTCTCTGGAAGTGTTTCCTTGCTGGCTGGATCCCCTGCCAGAGGCTCACAGCACTGCCCAGTCTGGGACACCTCAGCATTGATGTTTTTGCAGGCTCTTTGCAGTTTTTGGCAAGTTCGATGGAGCAAAGTCTACCAATCCCTGCTGAAAACTGAAGGGATTCCTCCACACACCTCACTTGGGATAAAGGAAGGGAAAGGGAAGGCCAAACCAATGCAGTGAGAGGGAGGAAACTGCTGGCAGTGACTGACCTGGTGCTTTAACTCAAGGCTATTCCTCTTTCCCATTTGGATCTGGTTTTACAGAAGAGGGAGGTTGGGAAGGCAGCCAGGGGAGCAGAGGATGCTCTGCGAGCACCAAGGTGACACAAAGAACTCACCCCCAGTGATAATACCTGTCAAGACAAGTCAGCAGTTGATTATTCACCTTTTATGCATGAATTCCCTGAAAATTTCATGGTGTCTGAGCACAGAGAGGCACCACCAGCTCCAACCATTCCACTTCCAAACAGTGGCCAAGCTGCCAACTCTTCAAGTAAACCAGAGCCCCATCAAGAGAGACTTCGGAAGATCTCCATGGGTAGAAAACAGGAGGTTTTCAGTTGCCCAGCAATCTTTTTTTCACTTTTTCTGAGCTCTGTGACAGCCCCATTTGTGTCCTGCATGCTTCAGCCCTGTTCCTGCAGAGGAACCATCCTCATGCCAGAGCACAGGGCACATGGATAAAGTGCTTTCCCAGTTGCAATCAGCTTAGTGGCTACTGAGGGATACCAGGGAAAGGGGAACACATGGGTGCCCAGGACACTGGTTTCTGTCATCGCCTGAAAGGTAAGGCCAGACTCAAACAGTCCAAGTCCCAAACTTTTAATCCATCCAGGAAAACACAGGATAATTCCTGTGAATTAAACTGGGCACTCCAGACACATGCTGAAATAAAAGTGGGATGAGGGAATGACAGATAGAGATAATTATTCCTGCTTTTCCATTGCTTCTGTGCCCAGAGAGGGAAGGAGAGGCCCAAGCTCTCAGCTGGAAGAGTGACTCTCTCCAAGCAGCACAGCACACAGGGCACTCCACAGATCCAGGGTGTGGTACATGTTATAGCACTTTGACCTCACCCACCTAAGGATTCACATCAAATTCTTTCATAAAATGCACAGCTTTATTCCCTGAATTAACATGGGCTAAAATTTAGAGTAATCTCAGTAAGTAGGTCCTGCAAAACACTTCTTGCCATCAACAGACCACTCCAGAGAACTCAGTGCATAGAGAAATCCTTTTCCACGATGTGATCCCTCAACAGGGCACTGTAACATTTAGTTTGGAAAAGGCCTCCAAGATCAACTCCAACCTTTGACTAATCACCACCTTGTCAACCAGACCAGGGCACTGAGTGCCACATCCTGTCCTTTCAGCACAAGTGACATGGGTTCATGGAAGAGAACTGGCCTTAGGGAATGCTGCAGGTACAAAAGCTGAGCCAGTTTGGAAACCAAAGGAGTTCAGCAAAGACACAGATGGGAAGTGTGTCCCGTGGGGCTGGACACAGACTGTGCCTTCCTCTGCAGCCCACACGTGTGTCAGCTGGGAACAAACAAACACAGACTGCAGCAAACCCCGGGGCTTGCTGTGCCACCCAGCCACACCCCTGGGATTCAGCCTCAGCTTCCCCAAGGAACCAAACCCCGGGAAGCACCCAGGTGGCAGCCTGAGAACCCCAGGCCTCCAGGCACAGGGGCAGATCTGCCAGGTAGTTAAAAGTCACTTAAACACAAAGCAAACTAAAATAACTCATAGGAGAGACTGTACTGCCTGCCAGTCAGGGGCTGTCCGGGGCTGTGTTCACAGAGCTTGTCCCTGACACATGGGAATCACACAGGCTCCTCCCAGGAGCCTTGCAGGTGTCCCACCCCCTGCTGAAAATGCAAGGGCACCCCAGGTCACAACCCAGTGGCAGTCCTGGAGCTCTCGGCAGCAGCAGTGTCTGGAATTTTACACAAGCTGGACAGAGCTGTTTCCAGATCAGTACAGACACCCAATTCCACCACTCCAACGAAAACACCACCAGCAAGTCACAGGAGAACAGGGAAGTTTACAAACACAAGTCTCCCTACAGCCCAAGAAGCAGCCATGCACACTCATGAGCACCCAGAGATTTTTAGAGTGCCTGTTCCACCTTGCACAGGAGCTTCACAGTGCTAGAAGAGCTTCACTGTGATGAAATTCACCAAAACACCAATCGTTTTTCCAACAGTCATTTTCTCTGTGCAACATTCACAGCCACAACTCCTGGCCACAAGCTTGTGCTCTCATCCATCCAAAATGAGCTTTCCTTTTGCTCCTCCAAAATCCACTGTGCCTAAGACCTGACATTGAGAAGTCTGGGCCAGAAAGAAAACAAATCAACGTTTTGATTAAAAAAATTCACATTAAAAGAGCTTCAGGTTCACTGAAAACAAAGCAACCCTAAGTCAAAACATTAAGTGAGCTCTGAGGATATTGTGTCACCCTGTGGTCTTGTTCCCACCCAGCACATCTTAGTTATGTCCTGCTGCTACAACTCGTCCTTAGTCAAAGGTGTATCAATTAGCCTCCTCTGGAAGCTATTTTCCTACCCTCCAGAGAAACAGTTTCACTTGGCACTTAATGTTACCAAAAAGTAACGAAATTCACAATGTTGGGCTTAATTTGAAGCCACGCTGGAGGCAGAAGGCCTTCACAATTCCTTACATCGGTGGAAGCAGCACGGGCAGAGCTGTGCTCCCTTGGGATTTGTGTCCAAGTGCTTCACTCCACTCCAGTTTGTACTCTCCAGTGTCTCCAGGGGAGCTACAGCGTGGCCAGGATGCGCAGGAAGGAAACCACCACCACACAGAAGGTCTGTCCCACGCCAAAAATGAGAGCTTCAAAGGGAATCATCTTTTTCCCTGCAGCTCTGTAAACTCCAGCAATGGCAGCACCTGTGGAGAGGAGGAGAGCTGAGGCACGACTGTGAGACAGTGCATGAGAGGCACACACTGTGTGCCACAGGGAGCAGGGGATGGCTCAGGTGTGGGGCTGGGGCAGAGAACAGGGGATCTGCACCCCTGGGGCATGGACACCATGCTGAGGCTGCAGTGATGGGACAAGGGGTGACAGACTCAAATTGAAGGAGGAGAAATTTAGACTAGATATTAGAAAAAAGTTTTTTCCTGTGAGGGTGGTGAGACACTGGCACACGTTGCCCAGGGAGACTGTGTTGAAAGCCAGGCTGGATAAAGCCTTGAGCAACCTGCTCTGGTGGGAGCTGTCCCTGCCCAGGGCAGGGGGTTGGAACTGGATGATCTGTAAGGTCCATTCCAACCCCTAAAAGTCTATGATTTTACGACAAACCTCATCCAGCAACCAGCACATGGTGGTGGCAGTGGGTGAAGTGGTGGTGACACTGCTGAGGCCTGCAGCAGGTATGGGACTGAGGTGATTTGGGACATTCCCTTGCCACAAGGTCCTCCAACCACAGCCACAAGCTGCCAACATTTCCCAGTTCTGGGCACAGACACCAAACCTGCAACTGGTTTTCCTCCCAGGTACTCAGAAACCTGAACCCCCACCCGGCTCTGCCCCCAATGGGCATGTTTGGTATCCCCAGCACAGCGCTCGGCGGGTGGGACGGACTAACCCTCTCACATGTGAAAAAGAATTACTCCCCTCTCCATCCCGGGGACCGCCGCGGCTCCCGGCGCTCCCGAAGGCAGCCCCGATACGCCCCGAGCCCCGCGGAGGCCGATCCCGTACTTGTGAGGGTGCCGGCGGTGATGGGTCCCACGATGCCCATCAGCAGGACACTCACGGACATAAAAGCCCCTGCCGTACTTGTGATGCCTGAGCGTGAAGAGCGCGAGCAAAGCGGCCGGGAGGTGGAAGGCGAGGGAGGAGACGAGGGCCCACAGGAAGACGCCATACCACATCTCTGCGGAGAGAAGCGCCGTGA